TCCATGTACGTATGTACGAAGTACTTTTGTCTACTAGAAGTATGCCCATGACTATGACTAAACTATGTCTACTAGAACTGCACATGTGTGCGATGCTTTGACCTAAACAACATACAAACTGCAGAAGGATTGTTTGTAAAAGGAATTTTGATAATCACATATTGCATAGCCTCGCAACACTTAGTATGATATTGATATTTGTCATGTAGCAACAAGTATTTATAGACATAATAATACTAATAATATAAGACTATAATATGATTCATAGTAATAGTGCACGAAATTAGCATATAGTCTTTGCACATATTCATATGTAACCTTCACAGCCAAACGCTTCTTGTGAATATTAGCAGCTGTGCGTCGGTTGGTAGACAACTTGAGCTGTTTGCTCGATGATCCTCCAAATATGCACCAGCAGATCAAAACGAGTAGATCCATACTGTAGATTGTTGCACACGCAAAACCTCAGCAGTAGTATTTTAGTAAACAGAAATTGAATGCAAGATACAAGGACTACACTACATTTAGATTGTCACAATGTTGTCAAACTCACAACATGACGTAAGATTGGTGACAAGTCAGAAATTAAGATACTATTACTATGACCAATCATACCATAAAGAACATCATTTCAGACCCGTGCATAGATACTCTCCAAGTAGCATCGATGAAAGAAAGTTCAAGCCTCTCCATACTGGCTCCGAACAATGGTTGGCTGCATGCCTGACTCGAATCCAACCCAGTGGACAAACACAATAAAACTAAACGCAACAGCACGTTGCCAGACTGACAGCAACAGCGATTGCAATTGCAATATCAACATTGTCATCAGCACAACACCCAAAGAAAAACATATTCTGACTGTACCTTGCTGGTTGCTGCCAGTTTACGTGTCGCAGTCCTTCCATAGTCTCCACACACCAGTTGGCATCTGCTGGAATACCCAAGATGCAAGACGAGTGTTGGCGCCTGAGAATGTATGGACCAAGGCAAGCAATTTACAATTATTTTGAGCTCAATGCAAGATACTGGCTTTCAGGGAAATTCGGTACATGAAGATGTTGTTTCAGTTGTGGCAAAAAAAAAGGTTTGAAGCTTAAAATGGCCCTAAGGACCCTGAGAAAAAAATAACTGGCCTGCTCCATCTCCCAACATTTGAAGGCAAAGCTGCTCGCAGTGCAAAGGCCAATCTGGAAAGTGTGCAAAAGAAGATGTGATTCTAATGTTCTTTTAAAAAAATGAAAATCAATACAAATAGATAGAATTCAAACCATCCCCAAAATTAGATTGTTCTATGAAATGTTCAGGTACTGACCTTCTAGATTTCAATCAAATATGGTTTGACATATAATTAATCATGTTACATAACATGTGAATCATATAAATAATAATATGACTCATGACTCAAGATCAAAGATGTGTTGACAATGTTTACCCGACCCATGTTTGGGATGTGCCGTGCCTACCAAAGGAATCGGCTGCTTCATCAACATTCCACTCCAGAGCCCCTCAGCAGTGGCATCTTCTATTATCGCCGGTGGAATGATCACACTGTACCACCTTGGCAGCAACATACAACTGTGAGTGAGTTTAGTATGAGTCATGTCTGTATGTATGTTTTGATATGTTGATGATACAATACCATGTTACAATGGTGAACATAATAAAGAGCTACCTGCAAGGTCGATCAACTAGCCTTGAGAATTGAACCATTCATGTTTCACAAGTAGTCATCATAATTAATTAATCATCATTGCTGCTTGCTACAAGAAAACTATCAAGGGAGTATGAGTATGAGTCTCAGCCTTGAGAACGTTTTGATGAACACTTCAGGGGATATTATTATATGCAATGCATAGTTGCATAGCATAGCAGCATATGATATGAAGGTTGAAGGAAACTAGCAGAGTCACCATCACCGAGACACTTTGTAGAAGTGCATTGACTTGATCTTCTCTCCAAAATCTCCATCCGCTGAACCTTACAACTGATTTGCAAAAGCCACTGCAGTAGTACATGTAGTGTAGTTGTAGTTGGAACTAGTGAGCTGAGCTGGCACAGCATTACGTTGATCAGCATTACGCTGAGTTGTAGCGCCTCTTTGATGAAGTTGAAAAAACACAAAAACGCTTAACTCTTGACACACGATTTGTTGGCCACGTCACCAAAGCAGGCATCACCCCGTCTACATCAATCAGATCTCGATGCAATCTGCATGCCTGTGAAGTCTCATCCCACTCCACCTGCACCTTTAGCATGTGTGGCTTGGCCTGTGCACAGGACAGTTGATTGGAATCTTGCACCATCCTGGGAACATCCTCAATCATCTACGCCAGTCCAGATCTGTAAAACTCAAGAACTAAAGACTGCTAAAGACTCGACGCGCACAGACTAAGATTGTGGTGAACCATATCATACTTTGTCACTTGGTATCCAACAAAGTACTGAGACCCTTGACTGTGATCGTCAAGCAGTGCCTGACAAAGAGCTGCGATCATCAACCACTGCAGCTTCATGAAGAGATATGCGACAGCATTGCGAACCTCACATAGGTAGTTGCACTCAACATGTCCAAATAAACTTGCGCTTGGAAGATATGTAGCCTTTGACACTATGTGATACAGTGATACAGTACAAAAAAGAAACATCAAGTGAACCTGCACTCGTTGCAAAGAAACAGAAGCCAAATACCGTGTGCTTGAAGAGTACCAGAATGCCATTGAAGACAGCGAGAACATCGCCTGAGCAACGATGAACCCAGTGGAACTACTAACTAGTGGAGCTTGAAGCTGGTTCAGCTATGTCATGCCTGCAGTGGTTGGCATTGTGTGTTGGAGGTTTCATGCAAGTGAATATCAAGTCACTTCCAGAACTTCCAGAATCATAATAGTAATAGTAAAGACAATCTATTGAATGCTTCAATGCTATGGTGATGGTGGTGGTGGCGGTTGTGGTGGCTGTTGCCTAGCATATGCTTCAGGTGTTTCAAGATAGCAAGCCCCCATAGATCATATATCAATCATATAGATAGATAGATCCATTAAGGCAGCAACAACGCAACCAAGAAGCTGGAACTTGCTTGCGAACACTGGATACATGGCCTATGGCAGAGATGGCAGGTAGGGTCCCAAACCTAGGCAAACGAAATCCCAGCTGCGCAAAAAGGTTGCTTATCACTTATCATATCACTCATCTCATATCTCATTGTATGAGATCATACCAGACACCAGTCCTAAGCCTGTAGCCTAAAACATACAACCTTCACGCTCACAAAAACAAACAACACACAAATCACAGTGAATTTAATACACGCAACGTGGACTTCAACATGGCTCTGGAGGTGAAGGATCTGTATTTGCCTCTGCCTGCAGTCTTCTTATTGCATGGCCGACCACGATACAGTTGTATTTGATCTCCTCGCCGAATGGTCAACTTATTGATTCTGTCCGCCAATGACCTCAAGACGACGAGGAAAAAGCCAGTGGACAGTTTAAACACATCAAAATAGCTAGTCTGGTTCAGTTGTGCTGATGATTCAGACTTTTGATTCTTTTGATAACTTTTGACTCTGACTTTGCTTATTTATAGATATATTGATTGAGTGTTTTTTCTTTACACGTACTGTATGTATCTTTAATTTATGTATGTTCGGAATGGTATGTTAGAATGTGATTGATTGGTTCGTATTCGCAGGCTTTCTTTCAAGTTGATCGTTCAAATTTGGTCCTGAGAAAGTGTGCTGACCTCAATCCGACTAGTTGTTTGATAACATTAGCCCAATGAACAAGGAAGCGAGAAAACTCAATAGACGTCCGCTTCACCAGAGACATCATAGAGTCAAGTCACATTTATAATATTGTTTCCCCAAACACATCGCACCGAGAAGCTTGAAGTCGCCAGCCACTGTGCGTCTTTGTCCTGACGAGCTAGCAAATACCACAGTCCCATAGCAGGACTTGAATGTGTTCATCAAAGAACTTCAAAGGTTTGCAAACTACGACGATGTAGTCTATGCAATGCCAGCATGCAAAGCACAGGTGGGCGCACAAAAACATGTTTTTTTTATGCAATCAAGATTCGCCGCTTCCGTTGTTTAGCGGCGCCCGCACCACCAAGACCTTACGCACAGTGAGATGATGTCCTTCCTCAACTAACATAGTTCCTTTGGTGACCCATGTGTACAGTTGATACCTTGACCTATGGGAGATGCCCATGACCTGCCAATATTTTTTGTTTGAACACTTCACACTTTCTGTAATTGCAGACCAGATGCTGCCGCATATTTGCAAGATGTCATGCACATCCCCAATCACCATTGCGCCCCGCAAGATGATCTTTAAAAAACTAGCCTGGCAGTCATAATACCTTTGAATGCTGAGCCAGTGTAAAGTGCATTTGACTGTTATGTTTCTTTAGATTCTACATCACAACCATATTGTTGTTTGTTGTGACAGTTGATAATCATCAAATGAACCATATGTGGCCCCATATCATTGTCACTATCATGATATCATATCCAGTGGCCTCCACCAAAGCCACTTGGCCCGGACTCTACCAGAGAGTTACATAGCCTTCAAGTGTGTGCCTCTTGTTAAGTGACCGTGTCACATTGATTTGGAGCCAATGAAACATAGCGCTGTCATCGCGCCAGTTACTCGGGTTTGGCCTGCTACCAATGATTTGCTCTTGACTTCAATTAGCAAGATTCCAAACCAACTCAACCTCTCTAAGTTGCAAAAGACACTATTGCATCGTGCCAATGCAATGCACCCAAACCGTCGTACCGTACCAGGACCGTACCAGACAACCGTCGTACCATACCCAGACCGTCGTACCGTACCATGCGAACCGTCGTACCGTACCAGCCACGTTAGGCCGATAGCACACAGCCACTACAGCTATCTCGAACCTAGCTAATATAAAACTATCACTATCAGTTTCAGGCATAGTACCAACGGACGGCGGAGAACAAGAAGCATGACTCCTGATATCACCAATTTCTGCGCTCTCAAACTGGTCATTCTGCGAATCTGCTTGAATCTTGAATGAAAGATAGTGGCTTGAACTGGGTTACTTTTTTTTCACTTCGAGCGGACAAAAGGGCCTTCAAGAGCCACTCTGGCCGTTTCCGAAATCAAAACTCACACCTGAGTAGTGTGGGGAGCTCCATCAAATTCGTTGACTCGCAAAGCTTCTCGTCCGGATCTTTCACCTTGATTCACATCGCGTCGAAGTAGGCATCCATGGCCTGAGCATGAGGCGCTGACTGCAAATCATTTCTGTGACCAAGGCGATATAAGATGTTGGAAGTTCAATGTGGTGTCTTCCTGGTCGAAGAGCTTCCCATGATGGGCCGCCTTCTAGGCGGCCCATGTTATGAGCCATCGAAGCAACGGAACAAATAAATTCTCAAACAAAGTATGTTTATGAGTCTCTACGACTTCCTCGAGCCAACATAGCACATAACACATTCACAAGCACATGGATTGACCATTCCAGCACTGTGAGTTCCTCGTCGGTTGCCTGGGATATGCTGACTCATTGTCATTTGACTTGCATCAACCAAGATGATTTTGTCTCCATGGTTCAGGGTTTTGGCAGGGGACCAGGCAAATGCCTCTACACAATGAGACACCCAGGGTTTCAATCCCCAAGATGTTCGCATCACGTCTCCTGTTTTTGCTCTTTTCGCCATCGGGTCTTCATCCACTGCTGACTACTGGCCTTTGGCTTTTCAAGCAAATGCGTGTTTTGTTACATTCTGCTTTCGACGTATTGTCGTCAGCTACAATGAGCTTCATCAAAAAGACACTCATACTTGGACAAACGTCACTATCTTGGACTAGCCTACAAAGACATGCGCCACACTGGCAGCATGTTTCAGTTTCAATAATTTGATTTGTTGCTTTCTTCATCGCTGGACGCATTCTCTTGGAGCCCCAGGAAATCATCGACGTCCATTCGAAAACCAAAGCCATCGGGGAACTTCAGTCGATAAGCTTCGACCCCCATGGAATGAGTCCGGATGAGCTTAGCAGCAATCCTCCGCAGCTCAACATGGCGGTTTTCGTCTTTCCAAGGAACCAGCGCGTCAATCAACGCAGTGAGAACAACCTGAAATGCAAAGGTCAACAAGAGAGTGGAATCCTGGAAAGCGATCTTTAAACATTATAAACATAACATATATATATAGTCATATACATAATAACTATATATACACATTAGACATATCAAACAAAAGGTCGCATCTTCGGCAAAGGGCTGGGCTGTCATCCTTTGCTCTGCTTTGAAGGCTGTTTAGTATGTCACGGTTGTCCAGAAAGCCTTGCGTGACTGACAATTCTCCAAGGCATTCGATTGCACGTTGTCGTAGTGGCTCGTGCAAATCATGCCTATAAGTAAGGACTTGAGACAAAATTAAAAATAATCATTATCTTTTTACTTCTTAAATGAAAAACCATCAAGCACACAAAATGCCTGACAAGATGCACAAAGTCTTTCAAAAGCCTGAAAAGCACTTGCTTGTCACACCCGAAGGAATGAGCGCAGCAAGCTTGCTTGCCTTGCGTAGCCAGCGCAGCACGCGCAATTGTGCGTAGGGCACGGAGACGCTGATCGCGGATGAGCCTATCCTGTTGATTGGGATAAAGTGGATATGCAGGATGTGGAAGTGGCTGGAATTCGCAGCACTGCCCAGTCCAGCCTTAAAGCTTCAAAAAGGCTTCCTCCACTTCTGTCTTATCTTCACTCTTTATGACGTTGGGAGACATGAGATTTTGGTCTCTGAACAGATCTGAACAGATTGGTTTGTGAACAGATCTGTTCTGAACAGTCTCTGATTTTAATTTCATAAAATACAAGATCTACTCCTTCAAAAGCTCAGATGCTGTTTCTGTAGTAGCTCTTCCCCTGCGTGCCCCAGCCAGGTGGCACCACTTCCACCCAATCGGGTGGTAAATGCATGCGATCTGGTCGACCAAGGCCCATCTCCTCTGGGCTTATTCTGGGACCTCACATGGAAGGGAGACAGAGCCTCTTCTTAGAGGTTCCAACTCACCATTCCCGGCTGATTGGTGGATAAGAACCACTTCGTTGATCAATCGCAGAACCTTTCGAAGTGAAGCAAAACTGACAAGTGAAGCTCATCGTTGATCATCCCTAACGTTGTAAAGATAGGACAAAAACTATGGACAACTCAACCTCCTCTTTTTGCAAATCGAAGCTGACGCTGAATGACCGTCACTTCAAAGGGTTGCTGCCCAAGCCGATGCCTCAACTCGCGTTTCATCGGGGATGAATGGACAACACCTCCAAAATCCTCCAAACATGATGTGGTCCCCTTATATACATAGATAGTGGCACGGTGTCCATTACATTTTTGGTAGATATATGATTTGCTATCTTTGGGGGGTCTATATATCCCAGACGCTCCATGTATGCCATTATGTCTACATTGGGGTGGTTTTGGAGGTCAATGTACGCATATATTCCATACATGGAGTGTATGGGTGTGGTCTTAAACACTCCAACACTCCGACCGGACGCCGAACGGAGTGGTTTTGAACCACCGTCGGATCGCCTTGAAACCGGTCGTCTTTCGCCGATAGAGTCACCGGGCGTCCAAAAGAGGCTGAGTTCAAGAAGAGGCCGGAGCTACGTTCGTAGCATCCTTGTTTCTAGTAATGGCCTCCACCGTCCGTAGCTTCCTAGTTACTGAGAGAAAAAAAAGGCAGTTGCGGCTTAAGAAAAAGTCGAGATACCTTTTGATCAAATTCCATGCGCTGTTGCTTTCGTGCTCGCTCCCATCGGAAACCACCCATGGATCCTTGGGCGAGACGTCAATTCCACCTACTTGGCGAACATAGGACATGGCAGAAATGCCAAAGGTGGCCGCCTGACTCTCCGGAAGGACTTCAGTGATGAAGCCGTCCTAGGCGGATTCCCACACGACATTTCCACAAGAAAGATGCTTTGGCAGTTCCTTCCTGATGTTGTAAAAACGATATATATATATATATATGCCTGTACTTCACCTTCCACGTTCACATGCTAACTCACGTGCCACATGATGGCCAGGTGTTTGGTGGTTCCAACGGGTGGTTCAATCTTCGTTGCCCTGTGGAGATCCAGGAAGGAACTATCGGGGGGAGCTTCCTTTTTTTGCTCTCTTGCCGGACACCTGGGTCGTCAGCGACCGATGTGCTTCCGCGACAACGGTCAAGGTTCCAGCTGTACAGGCGTCACAGATTCACAGCAGTGAATCGAAAGGCAGGGCCCAAGAGTGAGGGGTTGCTTTAGCCCCTCTCTCGAAGGCACGGGACAGAAGCTCTAAGGTCTTATTTTCAAGGAAGACCTCAGCTCCAAAGAAAGCACCTTTGGGGAAAGTTTTCCCATTACACTTATTCCCCTTGTCCAAAAGAAGGGGTGCAACTACATAGTTCTTGGCCTTGCAGAACGAAATTGCTGCACGAATGACCGCAGCGTATGCCTGGAGTGTGCAAATCGTGCCTTCTGGTAGCTCAAAGCGAAAGCCACTTAGAAAGGCTGCAGCTGAAAGCTCAAAGACCGAGCAAGCATACCCTTCACCAAGTCTCCATTGCAGGGAATTCATGAATTGCAGAAAGGCAGAAAAGTTTGAAGCGGACAGAGGCAGTTTCCCCGGTCCGTGCAGAGAAGTATCAATACATGCTGTCCATGTATAGTCGCTCAGCTTGCTGTCCCAAGCCCAACGTGGGCAAAGTTGTCTCGAAGTCAGTCTTTCTGTGGGTGCAGTGGTGACCACAGGAGGGGCTGCCGGCACGTTGTCGGGCTTTTTGCACGCACGGTTGATTTTTGCCAACCACAGTTGGCGAGCAAAGACGTCGTTCTCTTTGGTCTGTAATTCGGCCTTGAGTTTGGCAGCTGCACCATGAATGTGGTGTTTAGCAAATTCATCAGCTTTCCGGTTTAACCGTATGTCCTGCAGTGTAGATCCTGCATCTCTCGCTTGCTGTTCCGTGATCTGGTCAATAGCAAACTCTTCAAGCAGATGGGCTGGACACCATACAAGTTTTAGGGGCTGAGCAATGTACTGTCGTCGTCGGTGTATAAGGGCAAGAAGGAACCCCCACCACTGTGCATGCGTCCACTCCATTTGTATCTTGTCATGTCGAAGAAGATCACCAAATTGGTTCACAATGGTCAAAGAGTCGGAGTGCACTACAACCGGCTCAGTGGCCGCTGAGAAGGCTGCCAGAATGGCCCATAGCTCCGCACTGTAGCTGGAGAGTCGCCAGTGCCAGACACGGCCAGAATCAAGGAGCCGCCCATCATCTGCAACAACCGCATAGGATGCCATTGTGAGCCATGGATAACTCGCCAGCTGCAAAGACCCATCAGTCCAGACGTGTCGGTAGACATCTGACGGTCTCTCCCATTCCTGGACCTGAAGCTCAGCAGTGTTTGAAACCTTCAGCTTGGCCCTTATCACATCCATTGGAGACTCCGCAACTCCCAACAGAGAAAAGTTTGGCCCAAAAAAAAAGGTCGAAGCAGGCTGCTGCAAGTCCGGAGGGAGACCAAGACACTCATGAGCAAGGTGCTGCATGGACTCCTTCCCGTTACCACAGAAGCGACAATCAGCACTTTCAACAATACCGGAGGCCGCCAATCTGTCAGCTGTTAGCGTACAACCTGTTAAGGCACTTTCCCAAAAGAAAATGAAGGAAAACCCAGGATTGGGAATAGCCGCAAGTTTCTTCTTGGCAGAAAGTGTCATCGAAAGATCAAGGAACCCTGTAGCCTTCTGAATGTCCTTACGCGGCATCAGGCAGGCAGTGGTATAGCATTTGTTTGCAGCAATGTTCTTCAGGAGACATTTGAGGTCCTGTACAGAGAAGTCCAGAAAGTTAACCTCTGGAGCATCTAGCATTGCAAACCCAAAGGGACTACACCAATCCAGGTCCAAGATGCAACAGGCCTGGCCAAAATGTGTCATCCAAGCTTGCGGCGTAAGCTGGTCCTGCTGATAGAGCCGCTTCCAATACATTCTTGCATGCTCAGAGCCTTGTAGGAAACGCACTGACTCCGTGATCGTAGTAACAGCCCGAAACAGGAAGGGATCCAGTTTGTGCGCTTTATGGATGACACACAACAGAAGGTGCTTAGAGCGCCACATAGGTCTGTTCTGCCATAGGGCGTCTGCGATAGCACACTGCAGCTTGGCGAGAAGTCTTTTGGGGATGAAGTTGAGCTGCGGCGCAAATGCCACCTGTGGTAAGACTTTGGTCGCTAAGATCTGGGCTCGCTTGTAGCTGTCACACGGAAATGATCTGATCGACTCGCAGTCGCGAAGCGCTGCTTGGATCTTGGCAGTTGGGAAGTTGCCCACATTTTTCTTCGTTGTTTGAACATGGGCACCGAGTATGTTCACGACTTCAACTACCTTCATGGTGGGGAATGCAAGTCTCAGTTGCTGACGAAGCCCACTGGACGAGGCAAATATCTCGCACTTGCTGGCATTCAGGAACTGTCCACAAAGAGAGTCCCAGAGTTCTGTTGCACGTACTGCAGCAACCAGTTTATCAATGGAGGGCAGTCGCGTCCACAGGTATGTATCATCAATGAACGCTCGAAAATCCACACCATCAATATGCCTCATCAGCCAAGCCCAGACAGCAATATGTAGGTTGATGCAGAGAAGACTGAGGGAACAGCCCTGTACAACCCCGTTGGCTGTGGAGATCGGCTGGGATCGCGTCCACTGTTTAAAAGAAAGGTATCTCGTCATTCGTGTATAGAGCGCCAGGAAACCACAAACAAGGCCCCGGGGAAGGCCCAGAGCCAACATCAGGGCAGCACAAAGTTTAGGAACCAGGCGATCGAAGCACTTGGATTTGTCCAACTTGAGGCCAGAGAAGGACCCATGTAGGCAATGGGCTGCATCAATCTCCTGCTGGATAGTCAGATGGACCTCAGCCATTTGACGCCCCTTTATGCCCCCTTTCAGTTGCCATGGTATGACCTCCTGCTGCCAACTTTGTAGTTGCATAAATCGTAGGCCGGTGTACAGCAGCGTGAACACTGACTGAAGCGAGATCAGCCTCTTAGAGAGGGGTGCGTCACTACCATCTTTGTTGTGGATAACCATGCGAACTTGTGTCAAGATAGTAGGGAAGTCAATGTTCCCAGCTTCGATCTGGTTGAAGATCCATGCAACTGGTTTGAACGCCGATGGTGGAAGTGATTGTACTTCTCGGGTCATCCACCCATCAAGCCCAGCTGCTGCATCAGGTCGTCGATGAGCGGCCTGCTTCCAAAGCTGGTACTCATCTATCGGAGGAAGCGTGATGTTCTTGCCTTTGTCATGGATATAAGGCCAGACTTGCTTGAGGACTTGCATTTCTTGCTCGTGAGCAGCATTGACGGCAAAGACCGTGTCCCACTTAGTCGCAATAGCATCCATTGCCTGCTGAGGGTCATAGATGATGTTGCCAAGGTCATCTTCTACAAGGTTGGGAGGGACAACCCTCCCTTTTCGTTTGAGAAATTGGTAGACAATCTTGCCAATGGTCATAGACTTGGTAGCATCTTGAAGAAGCGTGTGTTTTATCCTGCGTCCGTTCGCTAGGAGGTTTCCGATTGCTAGTAGGTTGTTTACTCCCGTATACTTAATCACGTAGGAGCGGGCTACAAAATTAGAACATACGAAACAAAAACACGCTTTCATCTTTGGATCCCAAGCATCTTCTGTGAGGCACATCCCCATCGACTCTGCAGGCCCCGGTCGGAAGAGAAAGGTCTTCTCGGTCGACGGACCAACTCTCCTAGTGCGGTTCCGTGTCACCGGTCGATGCTTCAGTGGTTGTCCCGGTGTTGTCGGTGCAATCTAGTGCTTCCACAGAGCAGGTTTAAAGAAAAGGGACAAAAATGTTTCTGGCGAACTCTGGAGTCTTCTTTCCAGGATAAGTTCTGGAGACTTCATGTGAGCCTTGCTTCCAGTAGCAAGGAGCTTTGTGCTTGGAGCTCCAACCCAACTCCCAGCCGGAAGGAGGAAAGCGATAGACTCGCACTCGTTCCGTCTGACCCTTTTCATCTGTCCATTGAGCACCTGTCGGACTCGCTGCGCGAATCGAATCCGCCAGGAGATGACACACAGCAGGAATGTGAAACTAATAGCGATGGCCTATTGGAAAGAAAACGGCCTATTATTAGGAAAGACAATGCAAGGTTGTATAGCACAGGGTTGTAGTCATGTAAGATCCTCATAGAACGCAAGTAACCATGTAAGATCATAAAACTATCCCCACACGCAGCTCACGAAGCTCTACCGGCTTCAATTTTCACAACACCACATGAGACAGCTGTCATCACAGCTTTGCAACCGAGGACCGACTGTTTGTGAGTGTTTTCTGTTTGGTCTTATAAATGGAAATATAGTATACACTGGCCTACCATTGTTGCAGCCAATTCATTGGATTTTATCTTATGGTACCAATCGAAACTTTGTCATGGAATCTCCGCTAGTGTGAAGAGATCACTCTCTCTCTCTCTCTCTGTCGTTGCTAGCAATGCACACGGTGATTGAAGCATCTCCAACCCAGGTGTCTAGGTTTTCTTCCTCCCCACCTCCACTTGCAAAGGCAATGTCTGCCGCAAGCTCGTTGATGAATACCTCAACCCACTCGATATATATATATATAATATATAGTCAAGAACCCTAGAAAAAAATGCAAGTCATATTGCTTCTGACCAAGATTCACTCTTGTCCG